TCAGGTGTTAGTCACCGAGCAGGCTGGAACTTCCAGACCTCACAAAGGCAGGAAGAGAAAGAAATCTGTAGGAAAGGCGAAGGCACATGATGCTCTGGTTGCCCCGCGACCGGCCCTTCAGGATGTGGCAAAGAAACAAAAATGGAGATGCCACAAGTGCAACAAGTTAGGACACTGGAAGGTCGACTGCCTTCTCCTCAAGAACGGTAACTCTCTGTTTAATGTCGTAGCAACATGTTTACCTGGTGTTTAGATACTGGAGCCACTGATCATGTCTGCATTTCTTTGCAGGGGTTCGAGAAAACTAGACGACTTAAGGAGGGAGAGATCAACGTCTACATGGGCAATGCTACGAAAGTGGCGGCTGTTGCAATGGGAGACGTTACTTTATCTTTTGATAGCAGTAGTTTAGTTTTAAGACATTGCCCTTATGTTCCTAGTTTTAGAAAGAACCTTGTTTCAGTTTCTAAACTCGTTTTGGATGGTTTTTCATTTACGTTTGATGACTTGGTTATTATTCGTTATGGAAATCGTTTGATTTGTTCTGGTTCATTAGTTGGCAATTTGTATGATCTTAAACCAAACTATCCTACAGTGCAACAAACTGAATTGAATAATGTCATCAGTAAGTCTAATAAGAGGAATGAGTCTTCGTAGATGAATCAAGCATATCTGTGGCACCTTAGACTTGGGCACATCAACCTTAGGAGGATTCAAAAGTTAGTGGCCAGTGGACATCTCGGTCCATTGGAAGAGCACTATCCAACTCGCGAATCGTGTCTGGAAGGTAAGATAGCCAAGAGGCCGTTTACGACAAAGGGGTAAAGGAGCCAAGAAGTGCTAGGATTGATTCATTCTGATTTGTGCGCTCCTATGTCGATCCAGGCCAGAGGTGGTTACGAGTACTTTGTCACTTTTATAGATGATTACTCGAGAATTGGGTACATTTACCTGTTGTACCGCAAGTCCGAATGCTTTGAGAAATTCAAGGAGTATCGAGCAGTTGTGGAGAAGCTTCATGGTAAAAGTATCAAGTCGCTTCGATCTGATCGAGGTGGCGAATACCTCTTTGGAGAGTTCAAGACATACTTATGGGAAGCTGGGATTGAATCCCAACTTACTGCACCTGCACACCCCAGCAGAACGGGGTTAGAGAGCGAAGAAATAGAACTCTTATGGAGATGGTTAGGTCGATGATGAGTTATCCAAGGTTACCAGATTCGTTTTGGGGAATGGCGCTGAAAACAGCATCGTACATTCTGAACTTGGTTCCATTGAAGTCAGTTGAGACTACTCCTTATGAATTGTGGAAAGGTCAAAAGCCCGAGTTTTCACGTATTCGAGTATGGGGTAGCCATGCACACGTTTTGGGGCAGGAGGTTGGCAAATTGGAAAAGCGTTCGGAAGCACGAGTTTTCGTTGGCTATCCCAAGGAAACGAAAGGTGGATTATTTTAAAGTCCCGAGGATCAGAAGGTGATCGTTAGCACGAACACTAGATTCTTGGAAGAAGACTATATTATGAATCATAAGCCCGTGAGTAGACTAGTCTTAGAGGAGTTATGGAGTGAAGTCGATAGTTCCCCACCGAGTGCACATGTAGATACATCTCATAATACTGCCACAAGACACACTGAGAGTGTATTAGTGCATACAGTACCTTGTCGTAGTGGGAGAGTTTCTCATTTGCCCGACGGATTGATAGGTCTTGGAGAGTCATCGGACTCAGTTCAAGGAGACCTAGAAATCGGACCCAAGACCTTACAATGAGGCACTCCAAGATAAAGATGCAGATTTATGGAGTGTTGCAATGAAAGCTGAGATGGGGTCAATGGACTCCAATCAGGTCTGGGATCTTGTAGAACCACCCAATGGGGTACGACTCATTGGATGCATGTGGATCTATAAGAGAAAGAGAGGGTCGGATGGGAAGGTGCAAACCTTCAAAGCTAGGCTTGTTGCGAAAGGCTACACCAGATCGAGGGTATAGATTATGATGAGATCTTTTCGCCATTTGTTATGCTTAAGTCCATTCGAATTTTCTTGGCTGTAGCCGCTCATATGGATTATGAGGTTTGGTAGATGGATGTCAAGACGGTTTTCCTCAACGGGAACCTTCAAGAGGACATCTATATGCAGAAACCAGAGGGATTCATTGCTAAGGGACGTGAGCATCTATTTTGTGAACTTAATCGGTCTATTTATGGACTGAAGCAAGCTTCGAGATCTTAGAACATCTATTTCGATGAGGTGATCCAGTAATACGGGTTCACTCAATGTCCGGATGAGCACTGTGTGTACAAGAAGATTAGTGGGAGCGTGGTGGTGTTTCTTGTGCTTTACGTAGATGACATACTTCTCATTGGAAACAGTAAGAAAGAGTTATCAGACGTAAAGGTGTGGTTGTCTAAGCAGTTTGATATGAAATACTTAGGTGAAGCAGGACACACTCTTGGTATTAGGGTCATTCGAGACTGTAAGAAAAGAATGTTGTGCTTATTCCAGTCTTTATACATAGATATTGTCTTAGCTAGATTCAGCATGTAGGATTCCAAGAAAGGTATGTTACCTTTCAGAAATGGAATCAATCTATCCAAGGAGATGCCTCCTAAGATGTCTCAAGAGATAGAAGACATGAAGACAGTTCCTTATGCTTCGGCAATAGGAAGTCTTATGTATACAATGTTGTGTACGAGGCCGGATATAAACTACACCTTTGGCATGGTAGCTAGATATCAAAGTAATCCGGGACGGGAACATTGGGCTGCGGTGAAACGTATACTCAATTACCTGAGAAGGACTAAGGAATACATGTTAGTTTACCGTGTACACAGCTTGTTACCTCTGGGTTACAGTGATTCCGATTTCCAGTCAGATAGGGACGAGAGTAAGTCAACCTCAGGTTATGTGTTTACCTTGGGAAGTGGAGCCATTCATGGAGGAGAGCAGAAATGCGTGGCAGACTCCACCAAGGAAGCCAAGTACATAGCAGCCTCAGAGGCAGCGAAAGAGGTTGTTTGGCTCATAAACTTCTTAGTGGACTTAGAGGTGATTCCGAGTTTGCCATGTTGTATCACCGTATATTGTGATAACATTGGAGCAGTAGCGAACTTAAGGGAACCACGAGCCCACAGAGCAAGCAACATAAAGCGCAAGTACTATCTGATACGAGATATCGTTGGTAGAGGAGACGTTGATGTAGCCAAGATTGCATCAGAGGATAGCCTAGTTGATCCTTTCATGAAGAGTTTTCCAGGGAAGGTCTTCGTCAAACACGTAGAAGGAATGGGAGTCAGGTGCATGGCGATAGGATCGACATAGGTCTTTTAGAATAACGGATTGATAGGACTGTACTTGTAAAAGCGATAGCTTTAAGTATAAGTAAGAGATTGTTAGTGTTATATACTGAAAGCTTGGCTTGGGATGATATTACACTTTTACTCTTTATGAATGAGAATCATGTTAGATTAAACAAGTTCTATGTTCTGTTGTTTTGCACTTAGATAGAATGGGTCGTCATCAAGCGAACAGAAGATCATTCTATCAGTTACTTGTGAAACAAGAATTTTGGTTCACAACCTAGATGGAAATGAACACCCCATCCGAACGTTGTAGTGTCAACAGTACAGTTGGCCTTGACTGATTAGTTGCACTAGTACATTTACGCATTGAACAGGATCCCAGAGAGGAGAAGTTCATTTTATACTGACCGTCGTAAAACGAACTAGGCCTCGGTTAATTACTGTGTTCTCTTAACCTGTAAGATATTAAACAGACATATATATGCAGTACATATTACTTTGATTCACTTGGGTGAGGTTCAGTTCACTGGATTAATATTCCTACTATCTTGGGTAATATTGTTGTATGTAGGATGTATTGTTAGGATATTTACTGTCACCATGTTCGTTAGTTTGATGATGTCCCTGAAGTGAGTTCATGAAGGATTGTTATGCTAAACCCTGCAGGTGGATTAAGTTCCGACGAGCGCTAGCTTCGGTGAAATAATAATAAATTAATTAATTCTTGATTGTCAGTAATCGAATTAATTAATGGACACTATATCTTAAACGTGGGGAGGTAAATCGAGTAGTTATAATTGAAGTCTCAAATGTAATTGGGGCTACAAAAAGGGAGTGCAATAATATTATGTTGGTGGCCCATAATATTATTTAATTAATTGGAGCACAGTTAGTTCAATTAATTAAGAAGCCCTATTCCTAATCTCCTAAGGGGTCCCTACTGTAGCTATATATATGAATCATTAAGCTCTAGAGAAGAGATCAATCTGTTCATTCATACAGAACAAGCCGCGCGCCTCTCTCTCTCTCAGTTCTTATTCGAGCTTTATCTTCTTCTTATTGCTTCACTGGTACAAGTGGAAGAAGGTGTTTGAGTAATACGGTAGAAGATCCAAAGGTATTCGAGACCCGGTGATCTTCCACAGCAGTCGACGATCCACGACCCAAAGCCGAGGACTGCCGACCAGCCGATCGCTCGCCGCCGTGAAGCATTAAGAGGACCGTCGTGACCCACCGGCAGATCGCGACACGACTGGCGCCTCGTGACGCGTGACACGACCGATCCAGATAGTCCACACGAGCCATCCGATCCAACACGAGCCGACCCTGCCTTCTATTCATGTCATCCAGTTCTGTTCGTGTGTTGTTCCCGGTCATCCAGAATATATCAGATTCATAAAATTTTAAGTAGTAAGTTAGCTACGTCAAACCTTTAGTTCCATTGTGCATAGTTTTACGTTTACTATTGAATTTGTAACTTGTACATAACAAGATCCTCATAGATCCCAACACTTGTATCCATGGTGGAGCTCGAAAAACTCATCCTCCACCATCACCCATCCGCTATCGTCACCATCCTCACCGTCCCTCCTTCCATCAACACTGGCTCCACTGCGCTTACATCCACCGTCGTCCCCGCCATCACCTTCCACGACTAGTCGCCGTCCACCTTGACCTCCAGGCCTTTCCCTCCATGAAGACCGTCGTCTTCGAAACCTTCTGCCTTAGCAACCCCACGTCTGTCGTGTCCTCGGCTCCATCTCCGCCGCTGCCGCCATAGCGTTCTTCCTCAAGACGACGACCTCCATGGAGGGAAAGATGGAGGGTTTGAAAGACGACGGCCTCCACTCGTGACAGCCGTGGCGTTCTTCCCGGTGATCCATGGCGCGGACGTCGTGAGCTTCAAGGACATGAGGGACACACTCCTCAATTTCCCGAGCCTGCTGCCATTCCTGCTGTCCGACGTGGTGGCGCTGCTGCTCGATCGAGAATCCACCGACTACAAGATCTTTCTAGAATATTCTCACGATGTATTAAATTCAGACGGAATAATTGTGAACACATTCGAGAGTTTAGTGGTGAAGTCGTGGGCCCCACAGGTGGCGGTGCTGGAGGCGGTGCGGGTAGGCGTGCTGATGTTATTGTGGCCGTTGTATGCAAAGTAGAAGCTGAACCGGGCGGTGTTGGTGGAGGAGGTGGCGTTGAGAATAGAGATGGTGGAGGATGGGTTTGTGGCAGCGGAGGAGGTGGAGCGGCAATTGAGGGAGCTGATGGGGGAGGCGGATGAGGTGAGGAGGATGGTGGAGCAGAGCTTGGAGGCGGCGGCAGCCATGGAGGAAGGAGGTTCCTCTATTGTTGAGCACGGAAAGCCCGGTGACGTTAGCGAAGGTGAACCCGAGGGTGCCTCCGGCGAGCGGCAGCTCACCAAGCCGGCCGAGGAAGGAGGTGGTGATGGCTATCTCGTCGAGCCCATCGCATGTTGTTGTTTTCTTTCTAAAATTTTTTCATTTTCTTTTTTTTTTCCCAAAAAATATATGAAATTCCTTAAATTCACTAATAAATTAGCTATTTTTCAGTGAAAACCACTTTCATATCCAGTTTAAGGGCAATTTGACAAAACCTTATACTTCATATGGTGGTTTGTAAAAAAAAAAAAAATTAGTTTATATGGTGATGCGCAAAATCGTTATAGTTTGGATGGGAAAAAGTTTTTTACTCGTTTTAGTTTGATTTGGGACAAATCATTCAAAATGTATGTGCTGTGAGTGCACAATAGTGTTAGAAAAATTGCACATTAATGTCTGTCAAACTACACAATAACGACTGAAACTGACCAAAATAAAAAAATTTCGATTTGGCTTTTTATATGTCTGTTCAGTTATTGTTTTATACTTTTAAAAATTCAGTTTTTCAATTCGATTTTGGATTTATTTTTAAAAAAATTGAAATAACCAAACTGATCGAACTATAAAAAAATATTATTTTTTGTATATTTAATATGTATTATTTCTTTTTTAGCCAAAAATTATATAAAAGATTAAATGAAACTATTAAAATACTAAATATAATTTTATAATATAAATAATAAACTATTTCAATTACTTTGGTTAATTTGGTTATCCAACCGAATAAACCGATTATTTAACTCAATTCTAGTTTGTTTTGTGACAAAAGTTCAGTCGGTTCAATTTTTTCATAAGTTCAACTCGGTTATTTTGGTTTTTACATTTCAGTCGGTCAGTTCGACCAAACCAACCGATGAGAAATATTGTGCATTCTTTAGAACATTGACATTTTGGTATTTGTTTTTTAATTTTTAATGTGCATATGCACACATGCTGCACTTTTTTCATCACTATTGTGCATTTTATATGTTTTAATAAATTACGGATATAAACAATGAACTAAATTATGTTAAAAATTTTTGAAATTGCAACTAAGTCCCTAGGACTTATCAAATTTCTAAGAGGATCCCCCAATTCTAAATTGAAATTCGTCCATCTGTCTGTCATCCCTTTCCGCCGCTGCTTGTTGAGGACCTTGTTCGTCTGTATCCTAGCCCTCTTAGACGACTAGCATATTCGTGTCGGCAAATCTTCGGCGTCTTTAGTTT